TTTCACAGTTTCAGTGACAGTGAAGCTAGTGGGTGCTCATCACTGCACTCCCCAGTATCTAAAGATAAAAGTATCTGTAAAGGCAGCATGTCACCCTTGATTAAGACAGCAGAGGCAGAAAAGAGTGAGAAAGATAAAACTAAAATAAGAGATGCATGTACTTGGGACTCATTGCAGGGTTCCTCTACCAGGAAAAACAGTGTGTGCTCTCCGTGTAACCATAGATTATCCAGAAAGAGGAGGTCAAGGAGTTCCGAGTCATCTTCGCAGCACTCTCATGGCAGAGACCATCACAGCCGTAGATCCAAGAGGAAACATCGTAGCAAGGAAAGCTTAAAAAACAGATTACCAAGAAGCAGAGACAGTAGCGGGCATAGAAGTAAAAGAAACAGAAGGAGATCAAGAACTCGAGACACAAGTTTATCTAGAAAAAGCCTGACTCTCTCTCTAAGTAGCGAGAGCACTATATCTAGAGGTGTTAGTAGGTCACGATCCCGCAGTAATGGCCATAGTAAAAGAAGATCAAGGAGTAGAGAGAGTGATCACTATTATATAAGAGAAAATTACCAAAATAGATATCAGTGGGGATACACTTTCTACAGTAGGCACATGGACAGAGATGGTTATGAGTCCTCATATAGAAGAAGGGCTCAGGCCAGAGCTCATTATTCAAGGCAGTCGGCGAGTCCAGAATATAGAATACAGTCCTTTTCGGAAAGGACAAATACACGAAATCAAAGAGGACACAATGAAAGCCGGTATTACTGCTATGAAAGACGCAGGTCAAGAAGTCGATCTAGTAATAGATCTAGGGCCACATCTGGAGGGACTGATAGAATGCGATGTGAAAAGCCTGGTGGAAAAAGGAAATACAAAACACGCCACTTGGAGAGTGTGCACAAGGAGAAAGCACCAAGCCCTGCTAAAGGGGAAGGAAATGGCCACCAGAAACCTATGTCAAAGTACAGTGGTTGCTACCAAAATGAGAACAGCCCTCAAGAAAACCAAGCAAGCAATGAAACGAAGCATAGAAAGAGAAAGAAAAAAATTAGAAGTCCAAGTGTGGAGATTGTTTATGAAGGGAAGGCTACTGACACAACTAGTCATCATAAAAAGAAAAAGAAAAAGCATAAAAAGAAACACAGAAGACACCATACAGGTAATTCAGCACCTCCTTCTCCAGTTGTGATTACAATTGACAGTGATAGTGACAAAGAGATTGGAATAAATGAAACTATGGAATGTGACAGTAGTGTTTCTTGGACAACCATAACCCAGTTAAATGAGCAAGAAAACGAATCTCCATCGTCTCTCCTGGACGCAAGCAATCATAAGGACGTATACGCAGTAGCTGGTGAAACTGCAATATCGAACAAGGATCGTCGTATTACTACCAGTAGGAAAGACCTGGCTGATGACATTGGAAATGTAGATCTCCAGCTCCAAAAAATATCAGATGAGCAGACTCCTGCTGTGGCTGTTAGCAGCAGCAGTAGTTATAGTAGTAGTAGTAGCAGTACACTGGGAATAGAAACTCTGCCTATCAATCTTGAAACTGCACAGATGGAAGCACCCAGCCATTCTCCCAGGACATCATTTGTAGATAACTCGGGGAGGCCACCATTAATATTAAGACTGCCAAAGAAACTTATTGACAGATCATACTGGCTTGACACTGCAGAAAAAAAGATGTAGCTTTGTTTACTAAGCTCTTCTTAAAATCATTCTTAAAATTATTACTTTGCTTAGACATATTTTTCCCTGGAAACAAAACCCTGGTTGTGATTTGTGTGCGATAAGACTGTTTAGAACATCTGGGACGTGTGAGATCCTTGAATGTATGCACTTTTAAGTACAAGAAAATAGAATATTGTTAGTAACTTAAAAGTTTTTCAGAATAAACTTGTAAATTTTAGGAGGTGTAATTTCCTAAAGCCATACTGTATTATCATATTATATAAGATATAGCCACAGGTTCTTTCAATATTGTGTCTTTTAAAAAAAAAAACAAACAAAAAAACCCTAAAGCCAGAACATACATTTTCTGCTGGTTTGTTCTTTTTATTTTATAAAAGAAATTGTATAATTCACAAAATAAATTCAGGTTTGGTTCTGCTATCCTCTTTGATCTGCATGGTTTCAGCTTGACTTCTGCCAAAAAAGGTGTCAACAATTTCTGTACAAACCTTGAACCAGACTCTCATTATAGTAAACATGAATTCTGTAGGCGTCCCAATAAAGCAAAAAGATAACAGATTTTAAATCCAATGTAATGGTCTTTCGCTTGTCCGCCTCTTGTGGGCTAAGATCATGTGCGTCTTATCTTTAGACTGCTGTATTGTCTCAGTGTAGGTGGAAAACAATATATCTGAGGCATAAGTGTTTTCATTAAAAGTAAGTTGGAAAGGTAGAGGCCACACATCAAATGTTACGTTAGAACACAAGAAACTGAATGGAAGAATTGGAGACTTTCACATCTTTTTGTTTTTGTTCCTTTGTCTCTACCTACACCGTCAAAAGCTTCAGGATTATTACATTTAACTGTAGCCATTGTCTTTCCAAAATATAGTGTGGGTATGTAGGTGGTTGCTACTTGACTTAATAGTTACTCAGTTTTTCTCTACACCATGTCCTGAGTGGTTTAAAAAAAAAAAAAAGGCTTCTGGCTTTTCTGGCACGTCAAGCACTGAAAGGCATAAATGTTCTTAATGTTTCATTGAAGGACAACAACCTTTTCGTTAAATTCATCTGATCCAGAGCTGTTTAATTTTCTTGCCCCATTTTTTCCTGTTGATGATGTAGGTCCTCTGGAATTGTGTGAAGGATGACACAAAAGTGAAGGATGAATTGAAAGTAGACTAGATGCTAGCAAGTGAACAAAATAGTTGCCCTTCATCCCCCAGTTCTAGTAATGTTCGGTTTCTGTGATAGCAAGTACAGTTTTCATTTGTAAAATGAGTATTTAATGCAATGACTCACAGATTCGAGGCATCCTCTTGGAAAATGCTAGCTCTTAGTTTTCGCTCGAAATTTTACTAAAGAAAAATAATAGAGCAGTTCTGTTGCAAAGAACTCTGACCACAAAAGGTCATAATGTTTTGAATTATATTTAAAATCTCTGGGTTTATCTTGTGAATCAAGGTTGCACACCCAAGACTGCTAACATTGCGTGGTACTTGGTGACACCCTTGAAAGGGTCTCAAGGTATCCCAGGATGCTGCAGCTCCCTGGCTACAAATTACTGGCTTAACATTTTAAGAAATGTTGAAACAGTAAATATAGGGTTGTCTTAAAAAGTTCTTCATGTTCCCTCTGTAATTTGCTGTCTCTCTTTTTGTAAAAGTCACAGCAAACTTTAAGATTTACAGCAAGAATAATTCATTTTCATTTGTCAATATCTTTATTGTTTGGTTTTCAGTCGTTTTTAACTTTGGCTTTGTAAGCAGTTTGCTAATCTGTCCTTATTTCCATGGCCTTTTGGATGCATTATATACACTAAAATAGCAATGAAGATGGCTCAGTTACCATTATTACTAAGCCATTAGGCTATTGCCTTTTGTGTTGTCAGAGCTCCCAGGTGGTCTCATTAATCATTCGGTGACTGGATATTCATGCATGCACAATACTTCATAAAATATATTATCATATACTTTAATTCATGCAGTAGGTTCCTAGTGGCTAACAGAGGTGCCTATGCACAATTTTATAAATAAATCTATAGAGTATAACATCTAGACCTGTGAATTACAATGTAACTTGTTGCAGACTAAATAGAGTTTATGATCATAGGACAAGACAAAGGAGGGATGTTGAGAGGTTACCGATTTTAAAATAGGGATAATTATTGCTAAAAAATTCTACAAAAGGAGGGGAAGGCATGGTTGGCAATGTAAGGGTAGTACATGAAATGGAGAAGGGGACAATGAGGAATAAATGCAGTCATGCAAGTGAGGGATTAGGTGTTTGTATATGGGATTAAATGGTTGGAATGTGATTCAGTTAGAGAAGGAAGGAAGATAGGAAAAAGATATCTGTAGTGGCAGTGATTAAGTGCAAACATGCTTCACAAGATAAGCCCAGAGATTTCAAACAGGAAATCCATGGTGTTAAAAACATTGTGACCTGATGTCATCTTTCTGAGTTTTTTGTAACGGAAGAATTGCTCTATTATTTTTCTGTAGTCAAAAATGAGTGAAAACCAAGTGCTAACATTTTCTGAGGGGTGCCTTGAGTCTATAAAGGTTGAAAACCATTGAGCTAACTGTTTTCATAATGAGAAACAATGTGCTGTTAATGTGTGCATTTTTTGTATGGGATTGGACATCATAAAAGTGAAGACAGGCTTGAAATTTTGCTCTATTCCAGCTCACTGTTGATTTCTGCCTATTTAAAAAGAGACTAGCAAAGTGCTTTCTTTTTTAGAAACTGCCTTACTAGACCATCTCTTGCATACTAGTCATGCCTGCGTACAGTGTTTTAACCTGGATGACGAGGGGGATTGAGGTCTTTGCTGACTGCAATTATGTTTTTAATTCGAAAATATTAATCAGATATTTACTGCTCATCTTCTAAAGATGGTAAACAGTTGAGCTTGAAAGTCACTGGCTAACACCTTTGTTGAAGCGCTAAATCCTCTTTTGCCTTCAAGTGCAAAGAGAATGTTGTCTTCATATTCATCAAAGCTAAAGTTTCAGTTCAATGATGGAATTTATTTAAAAAAGTACAGCTGAAACTTCTGCAACTGTAACTAGGAGTTGAAAAAGTAGAAAAGCTTCACTTTTCCAATTATGATAAAAAAAAAAATTAAGATCTTATACTTCTATACACCTCTCATAAAACCTTGTATAATGCAGCAGGAGAAATTTTTAGTTCCATTTCCTCACTACAGGTATGCTTCATGTGTTTAGCATTAGGGCTGTGCGAAGCTTCGGTAGCCGATTCATTTCAGAGGAGATTCGGCCTGATTCGGCCACCGAAGCTCCAAATCAGAATCAAATTGGGAGACCCATTAAAAGCTCCAAATTGAATTGGAAGCCTCTGAATCAATTTGGAGAATTAGGCACCAGTTTGAAGATTTGGCCCTAGACTGAACAGGCAGCAGTCTCTGATCACACTGGATACAGCTGACTCCAGCTGGTAAGTTTGTCAAGGGGGGAGGGAAGGAGAGGGGGGCAGATCGATGCCCCCACAGCGAGGGAGGGATTGGGGCTGGGACAAGCTGCCCAGGCGTGATGGGGAGGTGCGGGACTTGGGGAGGGGGGCTCAGGCTGCCAGTCCAGGAGGGCATGGGAGCAGGTGTGTGCTCCCAGATCTGCATGGGGCAGGCTGGGCTGGGCTAGCCCCAGCTGCAGCCCCAGAACACAGCCCTGGCTCCACCTGCCCCAAAGAGTGCAGTGAAGTGGGGGCTATTGGGGCATTCCAGCCACCCTAAAATACCCCATAGCCTGTGCTACCGGGCCCTCCCCAATCTGGGTGCATGCACCTGCCCCTATGATCTGCTGCTGTTTGCCCAGCCAGGGCACAGCAGGGCAAAGCCACGGCTTGTCCAGGAGGCATGGTTAGGCTGAAGCGGCTTCTGCTGCTGCGCACCACTTAGTCTGAGGTAGTGCAATGGCACTGGCTTGCCCTGGCTGGGTGAGCAGTGGGAGGGCGTAGCCCCTGCTCCCAGAGTCTTCTGCCCAGAGCGAGCTGTGCCTGCATCGTGTCCCCCACCCCTCCCCCCGGCCCAGCTGGGCAAGTGGCAGAAGGGCATAGCCCCCACTCCTGGTGCTTTCACCACCCATTTGGAGCACAGCGCAGCCCAGCCCACTCTGTGGAGATCTGGGGACACACAAGCTGGCTCCCATGCCCTCCTGGACAAAACAAGTGTTAAAACCAACCCAAGTGTTAAAAGCAACCCACCTTGGCGCTAGGCATTGTAAGGGCAGGGACAAACTTTTACTGGGAGTAGTTTCAAAAGGGAGGGGATTGCTGCTTCTCCCAACCCAGAGGCATACAAATATGCAAATATTGTATACAATATTGCCAACCTCACTGTGACGCAAGTCCTTCTCCTTAGCAGGCTGGGTTGTATTCTGGGAGAAGCCATGGCACTCCAAATCCAGTTCTTTAGGGCTTGTCTCTACGGTTTTTGTATTTTTACTATATCATGAGCTTTAATTCACTCCCTTTATATATTGCATTGCAAAACAGTCTGTACATGATCATGTTTATTTTCATGCACAGTGATCATTCGGAGCGTGGGGTGGAATGAGGTCTACAAGTTAATATCCCTTCTAACTACCAGAATGAACTTGCGCTAAAAAGCTATCAAAGACAAAAATAGCCAATTTACTTGTGGGTGCATACTTCTCACAAGGCAATCACTCTCTTTCCAGTATCTCAGTTCTAATTCTCAAAGGGAATTTACAAAACACCTTTTGTAAACAAGCCTACGAACTTCACTTCATAAATCTACTGGATACAAAATTCCATGGAATAAATATAGACATTGAATTTATGGCACATTATAACCTGCCTGCCATCTGATAACCCCAGGTAATTTCACGATGTTTTATCAGCTACATTCTAACATCAGCTCAACATTTCCCTCCTTTCTTCTGCCCTCCCACCACATACCTGTCTCAACTCGATTAACTGCTGATCTTCCCTGCCACCTATTTGCATATTCACAGACCCTCATTTTGGCTTAAGCTTTTATTCCACCTAGGAGAGCACGCAAACACCAGCAACCTCTTCCTATGCCTGAAGAAGGGTGTTTGTGCCCAAAAGCTTGCAAAAAGAATTTTTCTAACTATTCAGTTGTCTAATAAAAGATGTCACATTTACCAAAAGAACAGTATTTGCCTATGTCCTTAGAGTGACATGGCTATAACCAACACCTTTAATTTCCTGTTGTTTTATTTTCTTAAGAGGATTTAATTTGCCAAGCTATCCTAACTCAGAATCTGTGTAAACACCAGCTCTCGGCACTTGGACTTGTTTCTTTGGAAGGAATTTTTGAATCTTAAGATTTAGGATCTTGTAGCTGATTATTTCAAAATTTTCTAGGAACAGAGGTGGAAGGAAGGGCGGGGGGCTCATTGTAGTATCAAATCAAAGTTATTTGACTGCCTTTGAATAAGCTGACTATGGATTTGCTTGCATACCTAGGTGTGGTGTGGACTTTTTTTTTTTTAAATCAGAACTCCTGGGGAGGTGATATCTTTTATTAACCCAACCAGAGAGTTGCAAAAAATATTCTTTATTTGCAAGCTTTTGGGCACATGCACCTTTCTTCTTTTTCTTTTTTTTTTTTAAGTAACTTGGGGAAAGTGAATATTTAGCTCATCCGTTTCCTACTTTGCTGCATCTGCTAGCAGCTAGTGTCGCACACTGGCTGATACCCTGGCAGTTTGATTGGCCACGCCTCTTTTCCACAGGCTTCAAGTTTCGGTTTCTTTTCTTCTCTTCCCCCCACCCTTACAGGCTCAGCCTCTGCTATTTTTTTCCCTCTGTTTTGGAGACAGCTGATATCCAAGAAGCTATTGTAATTGGAGGGACTATGAATTTGATTTACAGCTGTACCTTTTTCTTTGAAGGGCTAGCTTGAAGATCTTTGCCTAGGTTTCTGTTGTCAGCCCTGAGAAGAGTGGGTCCTTGGAGCACTTTGTTCCAAAGGGATTTTTTTCCTTCTCTTGCATGTGCAGGTTAGAAAGTAAATCGGGAATCTAATTCTTCAGCAACAGCCATCCAAATAAGCCTGAGCACAAATGACTGCAGAAGAGAAGGCGAGCCTGCGGTTCTACAAGAACTATATTGTGACGACACTGAACCCTGTGTATATTTTAAGCAACATGAGGGAATGGCTCCCTGTTGGTGAGAGATTCACTGGGCATGTTGTGGGTGGGTTCAGGACATGATGGGGGGTGGGGGCAAGTGCCATAGTGGTACACAGTTGGTTTCTGACTGGTGCCAGTTTTAACAGGGATCTGTGTTGTTCCTTTTCCCCTTTTGTTACTTCTGCTTGTTTTTGCCTCCTGCCCCTACTTTCTCATCTCTCTTTCTGGCTTCATTTCTAAGAAAGGTATTTCTACTGATTTGGGGTGTATACGTGTTATTTAAAAAGAATCTAAACCCTGAACCAAGGACAGAGTGTGTGCATGTACGCAGGTATCCAGGTTGTAGCTGTATTAGTCTAGAGGCAAAAGGAATTGGAACTTGTGGTAGAGGTGATATGTTTTATTAGACCAACTAGATTTTTGCAAAAAAAAGTCTTTATTTGCAAGCTTTCAGGCAACAGGCACCCTTCTTTAGGCAGAGGAGAAAAGATTGTAAAAGTTGTCCTAGACAGAAATGAAAGTTCATATTTCATAGGAGAATTAAAGGCGTGGTAAAATCTCCTGTTTGGCACAGTTCATTTTTTGCAGGTTAGGCTCAGAGAAAAGTTGAAATAGTCTGTTAACCTTGAAACTGTTCAGTGGCAAGCAGGATGTAGAGGCATATTTCCTTCTGGTTGTGATGTGTCTTTTTTCACAGAAGAGTAAAAAGACAGAATGCTCCTATAGGCAGAGGGAGGAAATGTTTTGGGGGAGGGCTGAGTGTGTGTGTGCATGCGCGCGCCCCCTCCCCCCTGCAGGGAGGTCTGCGGGGGAAGGGGAAGGGGATGTGGAGGGAGGGGTGCTGGGACCGGCCGGGATGGGAGGGAGCGGAGCAGAGCTGGGATCAGGGCCAGGGCCCCCTGTGCCCTCTGCGTCTTCCCCTTCCCTCATGCACCTTGTTGCCTGAGGTTTGAGGTATATCCTCTACAAGGTGCCAATCTTTATCTTATTGAGAACAGGGATCATCCTTTTATTTCTCATGGTAGGCACCCTGCACAGTAGAGTCCTGGTCCATGACTGGGGCTTGGAGGCTTTTCTGGGATTTAACTAATGGTCATTACCAGGGATCCTGGTTTTCTTTGTCTTAAAAATCGCAAATCTGCTTATAAAAATGCAAATTTTCTGATTAAGAATCTGTCACTCCCCACCCGCAGCCCCCCAGCCCTGCTGATGCCCCTCACCCCCCACCCACAGCGCCTCACCCCCACCCAGCTCTGCCGGAGGTGGCCCCTAACTGCCAGGGCTATGGGGCTAGGGACCTGGGTCAACAGCCCCCTGCAGCAGTGTTTGAGCCCTGCCTACCACTCATGGGAGGCAGTGGCTGCTGTGGTGGAGTGTGGCACCCTGCTCCCCTTCCCCTCCCCCACAGGTATCATGGCTGGAGCGGATCCTGTGGTGGGGGAGGAGTGGGCAAGGGCTGCTCACTGTAAGCACGGGCTCTCCGCTTTGCGGCCCTCCCTCAGAGATCTCCAAAGCCCAGTGGGTGGAACCCAGTGCAGCAGGGCAGAGCTGGGTGGGGAAGCTTGGTGCCGCCACCACAAGCCAAGTGCCACCATGGTGACACACCCCCAGCCCGCTTCTGCCCGCCTGCAAAGAGAAAACCAATGTTTCCTGCATTTTTCTCCTTTCACGGAGAAAATCCAGGTTTTTCTCTGTAAAATGAGAAAATCCACATTTTACTGCATTTTTCCATGGCAATGGGAAAACCTGGATCCTTGGTTATTAGAACGTGCAGGAAATACTAGAATGTGTAGGGGTGACCAACCTGTGGTGGACTTGGTATGGACAGCACCTCGCATATGGTGTTGCACCTGGCTGATTGGGCAGGGGCAGGGAGCAGAAAGCAGAGCAGGAGATTGGAGTAGCACTTAAGGGAAGGCACAAGGCTATTTGTGGCACACCTGCTAAAATGGTTGCCCCCTAGTATATTAAGGGTTACTGCCATATTCAGCTGCTGCACAGAGGCTCTAGCAAAAGCTGCAAATGGGTTAAATCTTAAATCAGAGCCTTGGAGGGCGCAGACAGATATGACAATTTTCACCCAATTTTTAATCAAGCACAGGACGGCTGCAGACCGCTTAAAGAGTGGCTGGTTAGGTGAAAATATGACTCCTCATTGCATGAGGGTTCAGATGAAGACATTTCAAAACAGGGTGTCTAGTTTGTATCTTCTGCCTGCCAGCCTCGAGTTGTTTTCAGAATGGGATGGGGGTGTTCGGACTGGGGGCTTTTCGGCCTCTGCTAGAAGGTGGGGTGAGTGTGGAGTGCCTTCATGGTGGGGGGAGGGGGAGGAGGGGATCTCGAATTCACCCATCCCACCCTTCAGTGCTGACTGGGGAACCCCTAGAACGAGTTCCCTCTGCTGCTTTCCCCCCCTCCCATTCTGAAACGGGAACAGGAGGGGAGAAAGGAGCGGTTGTTTCTAGGGGAAGCTGGCTGCAAGTTGGGAGCCAGCAGCTAGATTTCCCTCCCACCTGGAACCAGCAATGAACTTGTTGTGACTCAGAACACTTCCTGCCAAGCATTCCCAGTTACAGTGGGGAGCTGCACTTCTGGTAATGGCTGGTGATGTTTACTTCACAGGCACCACAGTCCTGGTTTCTGCAGCATCCAAAGTGGGGCTTAGTGAACATGTGGAAGTCAATTTTTTCATAGACTAATTAGCCAGTGATGCCCTTAAAAGCAGGAAGACTTGTGTTGCGAAACCCATTTTTGGCTTTAACAGTTTCACCTAAAAGTTTTCAATCGTAATTGTATGGTATAATTTGGGTATCTCCAGAGATTTTCCCACTTAACAGGGGGATATACTTTCCTTTCTCTGCCTCTGGAAGGACAGTGACTAGCAAACACCCATATTGTGAGCACAGCTAATAAATATTCAGAGAGTGTAGAACAGGGGCAGGCAATTATTTTGGGCAGAGGGCCGCTTACTGAGTTTTGGCAAGCCGTTGAGGGCTGCATGACAGGCAGCCCAGGGCAGATAAATATTACTTTTCTAATTTTTTTAGGGGCCCTGCGGGCCGGATAGAATGGCCTGGCGGGCCACATCTGGTCCCCAGATTGCATTTTGCCCACCCCTGGTGTAGACCCTGCAGCAAGCTACATCAGTGGCACACCTCCACCCTTAAGCTCATACCAGTTCTGCCATCTGGCTTATTTGCAGAAGTCATAGAAAGGATTCAGGCTGAAGAAAAAAATGGAATAACTGCTGCTGCGGAAATGTTTCTCAACATGATACTGGAACTTGAAGACAAGGGATGGTTTCGTGGATTTCTAGACGCGCTCATTGCAGCAGGTTTGTGTTCACTGATAAAACTAAAAGGGTTGGACGTTCACACATTTTCATGCTGTGTGCTTGTGAAAGTGGTTGGATCAGTTCCTCTGGGGAGCCACTCCTGTTTCCATAGTTGAAGTACAGGCAGTACAAGCTTATCCATCACTGTTTCTCTGCATTTAACTGGATGAGCCACCTAGTGATTTGAGAACAGAAATCAGGCTGGTGTGGGTTCATGCTTGAGGCATTATTTTTAAGTACCATTTTGCAGTCTATGATCTTAGATTTGATTAACTTAAACTATCATTCAGCGAATAAAAAACAATTGTAGTCTGCAGTGCTTAACATTGCAAGCAAAACTTAAAAAATATGAACTACACAACTGACACAGTGAAATCTGTCTGTCTGCACACAATGTAAAAAGGGGAATTTGAGTGGTAGGGACTGTACCCTTTCTTTTCAGTTGAATGCTAACTCTGAAGCATAATGAATGATGTTTTAAAGTCACCCTTGTCAACTCTGAAAAATGCAAGAGAAGATATGCAAGGGATGTATTTGGTGACTGTGTTGGTCTGAGACAAGAAATGTAAAATGCTAGAACTCTTGGTTCAGAGATGATACCTTTTATTAGACCAACTAAGAAATCACCAAAAAAATCCATTTTTTTTTTTTTTTTTTT